TTCAAAAGTTTTTTTTGTTATTTTTTTGCTTGGAAAACTTTTTCGATACACAAAAAATATTTTTGCGAAAATATTTATTTTTTATGACAAAATAAGTTTTGGTTGTCACATTTACAAATATTTTCCCAGAAAATAATATCCCTTTACACGCTTAATGGAAATTTTTCTCTAAGTTAACACTGCATTAGAAAACTGAATTACATAAAAAAACAACTACAGAACGCCAATAAATCGCGAGATAAGACGAATTCTAAAACAAATCGTTAAAAAACCAAACTTTTAATTCGAAAACACTGCTCCAACAACGCAGAACACATTTGTCTTTTGTAAAATAGGGCTAAAAGAGTTACTTTCTCTAATGGTATTAGTACGAAATGTACAATGTCTTATATAAATGTATGCAGCATGACCTCTAACTTTGCTGGTTTTAGTTCAAAACTACATAGTTACAAATTAAAACAGAAAAACCATACAAAAAATTAATTTATTTAAATTAAATACAAATAAATGAAAGTAAAATCGAAAACACTAACAAGCATGTAAATAATTAAATTTCAATACAAATAGTATACAAAAAAACTAGTAAATTACAATTAGATTTATAACAGTACATCTAGGTGACTAATTTAACTGTAATGCAATTTACTTTATCATAACAGAAAACATGAGAAAATCAAGTTATATACAGCAAAAATAATTAAAATTTTAATAAAACATTAGTAACCTAAACTTGGCATACAGTTACCATAATAACTGCAAATTAACTGTAATATGCAACATGTGTAAATTGCATGCAAATTTGTCAGTAGAACAGAATCTCCAAAAATAGGCTAATTAAATAGAATAAAAGAGAAAAGTGAAGTGAACATGACACAGAGAAGTCTGAACTTCCCAACATTTTTTTGCAGAAAGTAGGAAAATATAAAAAGTAACTTTCGAAAGCCAAGCAATGCAAGAAAATCAAAGTAGGCGCTAAGCCTTAAACAAAAGAGCGTAAAAGAGAGAGAGAGAAAGAGTGATAGAGTGATGCGAGTGCATTTGTGCAAAGTATTCTATGTAATACCAGAGGCGTGAACTAGACTAAGCCTTACATGTATTTATATAATATGTACTTGTATGTTTATTGTGTAAGTGAACACAAATAATTTGCAATTTTTCAAACTCTAAACAAGAAAACAATGAAATAAACAAAATCTCTCTAAATGCAACTCTCTTAAAGCAAATTTACTTGCAATTTATCTATAAAAACTCTGAGTAGACAAATTTTAATTTTTTGCAAATTTTAATTATTACACTTCAATTTTTTTTAAATTAAATTAATTTTCGTTTTCAACTTTAATGAACGGAAATAGTTTAATTCCACATACATACCCAACCATCATGTGCATTCCGCAAATGTCGTGGCAAATACGAGGATGCAAATCATAAATTGTATATACATTATATACATACATAGCAGTAACTATAATTGCATTTGTAAAGGGTATGTAATCAGCCAAAATATCCACAAAATAATAATATTTATGCTCGAATTCGTGGGCACATAACACCTACATACATACTCTCTAACACACATACATACACACAGACACCGACACAACGCTACTCTCAATGTTCGTATATTTAATTAATTATAACGATAATAGACACATTAAGTTAACTAAATTTTTTAGCATAAATAAATAAATTATTGTGACGTTGTGTATAATGAATGTCATGTTTTTGCATTAATTTAAAATAAATTCAAATATTTAACGATATTAAATCAATTATATTGTAATAATAATATATGGTAATCGTAAACGTATAGTAATGAATACAGCTATTCGAAATAATTAATTAAAATAATTAAAACAAATGATAATTAATAATATGTAATAGTTTATATAGTACGTGTAGTTTTGTTTAAATAAATTATAATGAATTAATTAAATTAAATAATTCGTCACATTTGAATATACAAATATATATATATTTACAGATAAAGTACATGAATGAGAAATTGTAATAAAATGGAAAAATCAAACGCGTGTGTGGTTTTCTTTAGACGAAGTGAGCAATATAATATTTTACGACCAAAAGTTCGTTGCTTAAGTCTTTACTTTCAGTGTCGGAGGAAAATCTTAGCATACTGTTAGGCAGTGGGAGGATATAACAATATGAATTTTGATTGAAACGCGTTTTTGTACATATAGGAAAACTGAAAATGTTTTAATTAATTAAATAATAAATAAAATATAACAAAACTAAAAAATTAGTTAAATTATCAATAATTTAAAATAAATAAAAAAATATTGCGGACTCAAATATTTTGAAACATAGCAAGAGGATTACCAAGAAAACCATCAAGGCAATTAGTCTCAATTACAAATATAGAAAAATCAGTGTGCATTTATGCGAATTATATGAATTATCCATACTTATTTTGATACTGACGGCGTACATAAAGTGCAATCGGCGATTTTTGGGATGAGTGAAATTATTCAGCAAAGAAGTTCCATTAAATCTTCTATGCGAAATCAAATTTCTGGTGCCGAAACGTTTAGAATGTTGAAAAAAGTCTTCGGTGATAATCGTTTGTCATGAACAGGAGCTTTTGCTTGGCATAAATTATTCAGACGTCCAGACGGCCATCAACATCAGCTTATGATATCAACACGTATAAAATAAAGAAATTGGTGCTTGATAATCGACGGCTAACAGTCAGATATCTTATTGGCATCATTGGAATATAGGAAGAATCAGTGAAACCCATTTCAAAAGATTATTCCGGCCTAATGAAAGTGAAGCACGATTGGTTTCAAAATCACCAAATATATTTGAAAAACAGCGTCGCATTAACGTCTGTGAAATAATGCTTTCCGACTACCAGAATGTCATAAAACGTATGATTACTGGCGATTAGTTTTGGTTCTAAGCTTACGACACGAAGAAAGACCTATGACCAAAAAAAAAAAAATAGAATTAAAAAAGAACAAGTGAGCAGCTTCTTGAGAAGAAAACGACGTGCGGAACATTTTAGACGGATATCTCAAAAACTAAAGGGTTAGTTCGCGTATATAAATACGTACAGAAGGACAGACGAACAAACAGAAGCGCATGTCTAAATGCGCTCAGTTCGCTGATCATTTCTAATATAAATTTATTTTATAGGATCTCCGACGTTTCCTTTTGGATGTTGCCAAGCTTCATGGAGATGGCAAACCCGATTCCCCAATCGATGACGATGGAGCGGATGTTCCATTGGCTGACCATGAAGAAGTTCGAAGACCGTCCCGTCTGAAGAATAACAAAGCAGCGAGGCCGGTGGATTGCTGACCTACCTATTTAAACACGACGGCGAAGAACTGATAAGGAGCATGCATCAGCTTTTTTGTTGAATATGGTCGGATGAAAGTATGGCCGACGATTTGAATTTAAATGTGCTTTTGCCCAATCCACAAATAGGGATTGCAAACTCCCCCCGGCATTCTCAACATCGCGT